AGTGAGATGTCTCACTGGAGTCTGTTAGCGTGATCTATGAGTAGGACTGTGTGAAAGACCCAAACGTTAACTGGGGGCTCATCAGGTTTTTCCTTTTTCCCTTAGTCACTTGATATTTACTTAATATGGAAAGGTTCTTGGTCTGTGCTACTTATTTTAAAAATGGATATTTCATTAAATTTTCATTTTGTTTTAAAAATTATTATATCTGTCTAGGAAAAAACTTCAAAGTAGGAAACTAAAATTTAGCTGGTATCACCGGTATTAAGCTAAAGCAAAAGTTAAGGCAGTCCACTTACTGAGTGAATACTGTCTGAAGTATTTTTATATAAATATATTTGTTAGCTATTGATAAATCAGATCTGAGTTAAATTATCAGATCATCAGTTCCAAAGACTGACTATAAACTCTAAATAATTCATTTGGAGCTCATTGATTATAAACCCTAAAAGATTTCACTGAATCTGTAACTCATAGGTGGTTAATATTTTGATAGGGAAATGAAAAAAACCTTTAGCACCTGAACAAAACTGATAAAGATATGGAGTTGTCTTTCCATTCTTCTATAGTGGCTCATGCCTTCCTTTTCTCAAAAGTGAGCTTATCCAACTAGTGTTTCAGATTACTTAAAACTATTGGATAGTTTTCTGGCACTTTTCCCATCTAAACTCCAGGTGCTTATAATGAACAGGCCTAACTGCAGTTTCAAATCCTAAAACTGTGTTTTGGATGCCTCTCACCAAGGAAAGCAAGGATAAAAGTAGACACATGAAAATGCAAATATTGAAGACTGTAAAATATTTTCGACTCTTCTGTTCTCTTGGGAGAAGAGGTGAAGCATTCCCAGAACCAAGTGGTGCTGCTGGTATGTGCTCCTCCCCACAGGCTGTCTCCATAGCCAAAAAGGGGTCCCTGCACCGTCCTACACAGGCTGCTCTCAATCTCTGCCATTAGGTGTGCTGAGGTTTCCATTTTCTGGTGAATACCAGGTGCACTGGGACTGTGAAGCATGATAGGAGCTGTTTGTTTTGACAGCCCTGTGTAACTTCATGGTGCAAGGCAGTGATGTGTACCAGATCAGAGTTTCCTGAGGATTAGGCAGAGCTTAGCCACCTGTCCTGTAGGCACAAGTACCTGTTGGGGGACTGTTCCAGGGAGGTACTGATTACATGGAATCAGTGGGTTTTTTTCCAGTTAAAATGAGATTCCTAAAAATGTGGCATTTATTTTGCCAGAAGTGTGTGTGCACATTCTCTCTTTCACTCCCTCCATGCTGCAGCCAGATTCACAGACAAAGCTGTTTCACTGGTGGGATGAAAAAGCACAGTGAAAGTAAGAGCTCTGTATCCTTCACCTGGGTAACACTCTCTGCTTTGAACAGATTCTTTCATGGCTTGGACAACTCTTGATAGTGGAGATCTCATTGGCTGATGCCAAGTAATGTTGTGGGATGAGGGCAAGGACTGCTGCTGCCATCTCCCAAGTATTATGAAGATATATAGTAATAGCAGCAGTGTTATTTTCTGCCCACCATTTAATTTGTCACCTGAATAGCAGCTATATACTGCAAGAGACCAGTCAGCAGGGTTCATTGTTTTGTTTATTTCCTCATTATTGCAATGACTTTGAATATTTCTTTTGAGGGGAATTCCTGTGCCTGGGACTATAACATACTTACCTGCTGTCTGACCTACTGTTTAGTCATACAGAGAAAGGATTGAAGACACATTCCAGAAAGAATACCTTGAAGTGGAGTAATGAAGGAAGAGGAACTATCCAAGAAGGCTATAGAATGTATGTTTTCTTTGGAGAGGAAAAATGCATTAAGACACAAACATTTGGTGCATGTGCAGAAGTGCCTGTGTCGCTGATACAAAGCCACTTCACTGAAGTGCTGCTCTCAGCCTGGGAGGTACCAGCGTCAGCCAGAGACCTAAATCACTCCTTGCTTTGTGAACTCCTGCGACCATCAAGTGTAGAGGTGTCTTAACTTCCTGAAGTGACACAATGACTGAAGATGCTGAAAAGCACTGGCTGAGATTGTCACAGAACCATTCCAGCAGAACCTGGCTTCTTTAAAATGTTCTCCATCACTTTTTGCATTATTTTTTTCTTATGTTTTGTAGATCATTCCTATGGTTTCTAACACACAGCTCCTCCCTCCACCACTACAGCCTCACACTGTAGGCTACACTGGGTAACCAGAAATCTTAAAGAAAGTGATTCAACAGCTCCTCAATCTGCCTCTGGCAGACTTTCTCTACTGTCAGTGCCTTGGAGATATCACTAAATGTAGGGAAATTCTCCTACAAATATTTGAGTAAAAAAGAGATCTTTGCTCAATAGCATGTAAAGGTTATGTAGTGAGGAGGAATTTTCTGCAGGAAATATAAACTGATCCTTAGTAGAGATGATTATGGTAGGATCTTTCTTTAGAAGTCCATGAAATAAAAGCAACTCGGATAAAATTATAAATTGTTGTGTCAGGAAGATAAAGTACAATTTGGCTGAAAGCACTGTCCTGAAACAATTGTCATATTGATCAGCATAAAGGTTTTGATAGAATTGTTCTGCTAATTTGAAATCATCTTCACCTGCTTTTTGCTGTTGTGAGATAAGGCAAAGTAGAAATGTGCAGCCCTGGCAGCCCTGAGTTGGATCTGCTTTCCAAAGCCCCGTAACACATCTTCCTGTCCAGCTGCAGGCTGTGTCCCCCCTCCCATAATCGTCCTCTTCCACAGTGCTCAAACCCACCTTCACTGTCTCACCTGGCAGCAGCTCTCCTGCCCTGTCCACCCTGCCCAAGCCACCTCCAACCTCTGCACATTGGCACCTGCAGCAGCTCCCGGATCATCTCCTGAACAGTTTCCAATCACCTCCACTGCATAAGCAGCCAGACTCTGCCCTCGGCCAACCACTCAGCTTTCATTTCCCCTGAAAGGCCCTGCTATAGACCTAATTTCCTGTATTTGTAGATGGTTGCTGCAGAAGAGAGGAGGAAAAAGTGGGAAAAGGTCTGGGTAGAGAAGGTGAATGGCTGGAACTAGGATGGGAATATCTTATGGACCAATTCCAGCCTAAGAGCTGTCTGGACTGTAGTGTTTTCACATATGGAGAATGAAGTTGGCCTTCTCCAGCTACAGGTCAGATGCACCCTGACTGAGATGATGATCTTCTTGAATCCTTGTAAACATCAAAAATTTCATGTATGCTTTGAACTTAAGAGCTCAAACCTGGGAGGAGAAAAAAAAAATCAGCGTTTTCTACTGAAAGCAACTGTTATCTTTGAAACTTGAACAAGCTGCACCAATAACACTCTCAGCTGAACACGCAGATTCTTAGTTTGGTTTTGCTGATAACTAAAAATTAACAATTCAACATAAGCCTTAATATAGGCATCTTTCTGTCTGGCACCTGCAAGATTTTTCTCCCGTAGTTTCTCTCTCTTAATGCTGCAACATCAGTAATAGCAACAACTGATTCAGCAACGTATACCTTGAACTTCTCTTAAAAGGTTACATGTCAAAATGTCACCAGACTGTGTTAGCAGTGTTCAGAAAATGGAGAGTATCAAAGTAAGATTGGGCATTTGGTTTATGGTATTTCTACTCTGATAAGTGGATAGGCAGATATATGGGGGTGTTTTTTTGGTAAAAAAGCTAACACTTTCTTTATATTCAATCTTATCTGCTGCCTTCTAACTGCATTTTACTCTGTCTAATTTCTCCAGACCCAACCAGGTGAGAGAGTGAGAGAGCAATTTTTTCCACTTTTTTTGTCCTGTCAACAGCATTATTTACTGCACATCATGTAATTACATGTACACAAATGTATTGAATGAAGCTGGATAGATCATACAAGTTGAAATTTGAAAGACAGAGGCCTTGACTAACTGGAAGTAAAAGCATAAAATATGGATGCATATGATGAAACACTGCAAACACAAGCTCTAACTACAGTTTCAACTCCAAGGTTATGGAATCAGGTCTTAGATTGCAAGTTTTCTAAACCCGGTGGCATAAAAAACCTATCCCTTGCTTTTAAACAGATTGAATTTTGTGCAGAATCATTGACAGACAGTGGTAATACATCTACTCTGCAGAGAATAATATGTAGAAAATCAAGTATGAAGTGTAATCTCATTATCAAAAAGAAGACAAAGCTTTGATGTCAACAGGAGTCCTTCTGTGGACTTTGATATAGAATTAATTTCTGTAATCTTAATTATTTTGCCTCTGTCTTACTAACTATATGGCACCACGAAATAGTGTTTCCCTCGGAGAGAGCAAATAGTTTGGGGATTTTCTTTTCTTTCTTTTTCAATTTTGTTTTGGTTTCAGTGGGAGTATTTGTTGTTGGCTGAGTTGCAGAGAAAGAAGTTAAGTGCCTCTGTCCTGAGGGACAGGAGAGTATGTGTGTGTCTTGTAAGAGAGATGCTGGTGGCATATTGGCCTCGTGATGGATGCGCAGAACTGAAGAGTGATAATTCATTCGAAATCCCCACTTGTAATATTTTGATGTATTATGACAATATAATCTTGTGTGTTAATAACAGATTATAATATGTATATTTATGGGGCAGTATTTAGCCAGATGACATTTGCTTATGTAAATTCTACTACCTATGTTTGGAACTGATAGCGGCTGTTATTTAATAGTGCTCCAAAAAGCATGCTGTAGCTTCAGACTAAGGTGAGAATGTGGATTTAGAGGACTCTCTCCATGTTTATTTATTTCCTACTCACTCCCTCTTCTAGAGGATTTCTAGACAAATATATTGCATCCAAGAACTCCAGTGTTCTAATTTGGTGATAATAATTTCATTTAGTTGTGTGCCCCTTTTTACAGTCTCGATTTAATGTACCATTTTCTTCTGCCACACAGAACAGGGATGAGTGAGCAAGAACCAAAACTTTTCTGAAAACAGAAAGAAAAGCTTTATTATATGAAGCTTAAACAGAAAAGCAAGAGTGACAGGATTTCCATACAACTGAAAGATTATCTTCTTTAAATGTGTAACTCATGTTTGCTCTTTATGGGTAGATTGTTAGACTGTATGTTCAGTTCTCTCAAGAGGCATTTAGGACTTCAAATACAGTAATAAATTAATTTGCAAGATAGAGACAATAATGAAAGATTCGATTTCAAACCAGCGACGTGAAACTTTTGTGGAATTCTCAAACACTAAAAAGCAGAAATGACAGCCTTATTTACTGGCATAAATGAACCCACCAATGAAATAAAATACAAGATTGACAGCATTAGGAAGAGCAGCTCCTTTTTTTTTTATCTACAAAGAGATGTGACTTACAACAGTGTTATTGCCAGCTTTCCTCCACCTCACTTGGCCACCCCACTCCCCCGAGAGGCCAATGACAACAAAGCGAGGGCAGATTAGAGACCTGGTGTATGCAGGCCTTGCTTTTCCTGAGATAACTGAGGTTACTCTGGGCAGCAGGGAGGTGATGAGCTGACACCCATCGTCTCAGAAAGGAAACCATTAGTTTACTCAGAGGCCAGTACAGAGCCACCAGATGGGAACAGTTTTCTGTCACTGTCTATCAAGGCTGGAGCACAGCTCTCCAGCCTTCTGTGACATCAATTTTATGCTGAGAGCACAGCAGTCTCAAAAAACACTGAAGAGCCATTTACTTGTAAAGTATAAGAAACATCTGTCAGTGGCTAAAAGTGTTAAAGAAATGCTTAACTGTACATTGAGTTGGCAGATTCTTAGGCTCAGACTACAGGAAAAACATTAGCAGTGAAAGTCCACAAGATTTATCCTAATTTATCAGATTACTTCCTCAGAAAGTCTCCTTTTGAACTGCTCTTCAACAGAAGAACAAATGTGTAGACTTCAATGCTTAATAAAGCTAAAAGCTTCTCCCTGGGGTAATTGAAATTTTTCTATCAAAGGGTAGATAGACCTGGTTGCAGCTGCAACAAAGAAGAAACATATAAAGCCAAGTGGAAAGCAGTTAGACAGCATTGGAGGTGTAGGACCATTGAACATGGTCTTGCTAATTGGAATCTATAGCACAGGACATTCAACTACATGCTGGGCAAATGACCCTGAAAGTTTCAAGTCTATCTAGTATAAAAAAAAAAGTTCAGATGTAAAAATAATCATAGGAATGATGGATTCTGTATCCTTGAATGGGCATAACCAACCAGAGATCTGGGTAACTGGCAAATTTCTTTTTTAAATAAGGCCCTTTGAGTCCCATATATGCATCTACTTTCACAAGCATTTCAAAACCCATCTTCTAATAATTTCACACAGAGCTTTCAGAGCCGCAATGTTCAAAAGAATGAAAGTAATGAAACACAGCAAAGTTTTACATTTTTATTTCTGTACTTTGGGAAAATTCCTATTGAAGACAGAAGGCAGTTCAAATTGGAATTGCTTTACTGCCAACAAAAATGTGTGACTCTTGATCTAATGAAAAATTAGAGAGATTGAAAAGCAGAAGTAGACTTAGGAAGGATTTCAGCTACAGCAGGATGCAGCCCTTATTGCATTTGTAGTTCAAACTGTGATCTCTAAGGAGATCTAAATTGCTCCAGAGTGTGGAATTTAGGGTATTTGACACTTTATTTTCTCAGAGGAGCAAGTATGGGGAGCTAAGACATCAGGTTTTATTGTCATGCATTTAGAAAGAATATTTTATTTTAATCTGAAATAAAATGTTGTTTAATGATGAAAATGTTAAAGTCCTAAAATCCTTGTCATGTGAATTAAAAGTTGTTCAAAATGGTTCCACAAAATGGAAATTGTGAAATTTTTTTTTAAGTTTCCAATCCTGTAAACTGATTTGGATAAGCACACTTTTATTTCATACAGAAAAGGCTGTTGTGTTTGTGATTGTTACCGGTATGCGTGGGCTCACTGGCTCAAAATCTAAACAGTAGTTCCCACATGCTCTGTATCTTCGTGAACACTAGAGTATTTCTGGGAAGTGAAACAGTGGCAACAGAAAAAGTTGGAGTTACACCTTTACTTCACATTGTGCTAACACAAAAAGATGTCAGAAGAAGGGACCTACAAACACTGTGTCTCTGCTTGTTTGGTGTCCCCCAGAGGCAAAGGACCCTACTGAAACAAGGGGTATCTTAGCTTGGGTGCAGTGGCTGTGCTGCTTCCCATGCAAATCCTGCCTCATGCAGAGCTTATTCCAGTATCTTGATGTGATGTAGCATTGACTGTGTGGTACAGACATGCTCACACAGTCCAGACAGTAAAAGAATTGCAATCAAATTCCTGTTCCAGGATGGCAAAAAAAAAAAAAATTAACTTTGGATCCCAAATACCAGGAAACATTATTTAAGAGATAAATTAGTCTATATTGTTGATGTCTTCAACCATCTCTTCTTCCATTCCTTTTTAGTGAGAAAAAGCATGTGAATATCACAGGTGACCATCATGTATTTTCATGTATTCCCCAGAACTGTTTTCTCTCTTGCTTTTCATCATTTAGCACTTATTTTATCTATCTTCCTCTCTTACCTCATCTTTTTCATTCATCAAATCTTTCTTTATCAAGGCCTAAATTTTTAACTGCCGTTTCAACTTTTCTTTCTCCTGTTGTTCTTTTCCCACTTGACTTTCCTCTTGTTATCATTTGTCTCCTCCTTGTTCCTATTTCTTTTCCTGCATATTTCATCCATTTGCACCAAGCCTCCTCAGCCCCTCCTTTTGACAGCTCTAATGTAGCTGATTTCTGGCAATTAGTCACTTCTTTACCATTGTCTAAAGAAGCATTTTAAACCTTGAACAGAGGGGTTCCTTTCCAAAGTACCAAGTCATTCCATCAGGAAAAGTCCAGGGCTGGAGATATAACACCCCTGTGACAGGACAGAACAAGCAGGCATGCAAGGTTGTGGAAGGAGCAGGTTAAAGCAATCTCAGCTCTTAGGGCTCAGATGATGAGTCTTATGGCAACAAATCACTGATGAAATCACATGCTGCAGTGTCTCACATGCCAGCAGCCTACAGTATTTGGCATCAGGGGATCAAACAACCGAAAAAAAGGAAGTGGAATCATGCCAAAGACATGACGTCCTGAGCAGTCGTGCAAGAATGTTACTGATTAGACCAAAAGGATGGTCAGTTTTGGTGCATTTATCAGAACTGTCTATTTTATCACCAAAGTAGCTTAATGAGCTCCCTTTTTCATCTCAACAGACTGGCAGCCTGGGAAAATGCTATGCTATTAATAGAACGGTATTTTTAGAAAGATGGAAAAAAGAAAAAGGCAAGAGTCCAGATTTTATTCCCCCCTCTACAATGGCATCTGTGATACAGCTGGAACACACGTACCAGAGGAAGGTCACCTCAGTTGAGAGAGCAATCACAAAACCCACAGGAAACATGTTTGAGCTTCTCAGTAACTCATTTCACTGGAATACTGGCTGTGCTATATTGGCTCATCGTACCCAACAGCAGAGCTGGGTTTGAAGGAATGTAGATTTGTATGAGTTACTAACTACATCTTGAAATCATCAAAATATGAATGTTTAATCCCATAATCTGAGTATTAGTATTTAAATCAGTGCCTATAAGGTTCCCCTGATTTTTTGAAGGAGTTGAATGCAATCCATTTTGGGAGAAACTGATGTTGAGATCCCGCCATTGACATATCAACATTCTTAGTACTTTGTCTAAATAAAATGCTTTTCTTTGCTCCCAGGGCACTAGGAGTCTGTATTTATCTGCAATTTCTGTATATATACACATAATAAGAATACATATAACAAATACATATATATGTAATTTATATATACATATAATATATATCTGTTGCTCTAGGGGTGGGACTTTTCAGAGAAACCAGAAAATACATGTACACAGAATGCTTTACATTATTGTTCTGCCAAGAAATTTGAAGAAAACTTTCTTCTCAACTCCTTCCTTTCTTGAAGAGTACAGATTAAGCAAACTATTTAAAGACATTCTTATATTCCTTCAAGTCAGATGCTAAATAAAACTCTTACCTAAGTAATTTGCTGTACTGGGGCCCTCAAAAAGTAAAGTATGGCAAGACAGAAACCTGCTTTTGGAACTCTTGACAGCAGAGTGCCTTGAGCTGATCTCTTTTTGAAATGAATTATTTTGTGCTTTAGATTATATCAGGTAATCCTTCAGGAACACAAATGAACTTTTCAGTTTGTTTGCTTAGAGTCTCACCCAGATGAATTGCTGACTTCCTGCACCTGTGAGTTCCCTCCTCACTCTTCCATACTGCATTTCTTCATTTGGATTGGTGTGCATCCCTCTGCTACTCCTGATACACCTTTGTTTAAGTGCTAGTTTCATGTTCTGATGTCTTGTGGCACTAAATTCCTCTAGCTCTGATCATGTATTTATGGTAGCAACGTGCCCACTGTCCACTCTCTCTCACAAATTTTGCTCAGGACTTCATTACCTTTCTTTAACAGCAGGCCCTGATTTCAAGAAATGAATACTAATGCTCAGAACCAGCTATTAAACATGCACATTTTGATGATCGCAGGAGGTATCTAGTAACTCATATCACATACATCTACATTAGCTGAAACCCTGCTCTGGTCCAGTCCAACACTAGAACTGCAGATATCTCTGTACACGATGCTGACACTAAAAGTTGGTCCAAAAGTTTCAAATCAAAATAAAGGTACCCTGAGAATCAATAAAGGACCAAAATTGGATCAGCAACAAAACAAAACAAAACAAAACTACTTTCCTTTCCTGTTTTCCACTGAAAGTATTCAGAAGACAGAAATTATTAATTTGGGTTTGTGTGGGTAACAAGAGTGATAGGAAGGATATAATTCTTAACACTTGGAGGTGAGAACTTTTAGGTTTGCCCATCTAAAGCTAATTGTATGGCAGGTTTCCCCATACCATTACATCACCATGACTGCAGACTCACCACTGAGATCCCTCTGGTGCTCCATGCACTTCTCATCCTGGCTTGGAACAAAGTCAAGCACAAGGTTAGATTTTTGAGATCAGCTGCATCCACACCAGCATTCAAAAGAGGTAGATGTAAAGTGATAATGAATATTAGCAAACCAAGCCAACCTCATGAAAAGTTGGACTGTGAATGGATGAGTTTCCGCCCATTGCATAAAGTCCATTAACCAGCAGCATTCTCGTCGGAGTTCATTAAAATTTCAGAGAAATGATTTTGCAGTTTCTTCCTGGTGCCAGGATGAATGCTGAGTTTACAGCAGGCACTGTCCAGTTCTTCTTGTTGCTCTTAGAATGACACCAAACTTTTCATTTTATTTTGCTTATTTTCCTGTGCTGCTACTGACAGAAATGGGAAGACCAGTCAAGCAAAGGTAAGACAGAAGTTCATTCAGTGTGAAAAAACAAGGTTCATATGTTGTCATTGAGCATGAAATTACTTTCACATAGTAGTTTGTTGCCTGAATGTATATTTTTCTTTTGCTGAATATGTACATTATCTTGTGGACTTTGAACAAATGAAACCTGAATGATATTGCTCATCATTACTTCAGCACAAATACAGACTGTAGTCAAAACCAATTTTCTTTTAATATCTTTTCTTGGTGTCTTCCTTATATAATTTAATTAGCTCAGTGACTTTTTCTTTTTTAGACTGCAGTAACAGGAAGTAGAAAATAATAGTAAACACCTACTGCATTCTGTGGATTCTTAACACTTAACACTTCCAAACTTAGGAGGTTTTTAACCCTATAACTTCAAATCATTTTAAGTTCATTGTGTCTAAACAGATCAATGTGAGTGCTATCAGCTGTAATACACAAAAAATAAATTAGCTCCTAAGATTTTTCCCTTTCAACATAGGTGCAAATAACTACAAAAGTTCATTTACAATCAGAGGAACTCTTATGATTTATTAGTTCTCTGATTTCCTTACCAGACAGAGGGTTTGAAAGTGCACTGCACAAAAATGTTTTTACATACTCTCACTTAGCAACACCTTTGGTGGGTCCTATTTTCAGAAGCAGTGTCTGCTTACAGTACTTGCAGATGTGGCTGGGCATGGAATATGTGGTTCAGTGAACCTCCAGACAAATATTCATTCATTGGTAAAGGTCAGGAATGCAGCTGTGAAAGGCTGATGAAAAATGGGATGAAAAATTGTAGAGATTCTTCTTTAGCTCAATATTCGAATAGTGCAAAAATCACAATGAAGGACAGACCAAAACAGAACATAAGATTTTCTATAGGAGTTTTCTTTCCATTTTTACAACAAACTACAGGCTCTTTACATGGCCCAACAGGACAATTGGTATCAAGGCCATGTGTCTTGCTATCAGTGTGGTACACTGGATATACTGGAGGTGATTTTACGAGTTTCAGAAACTTCCTTCTCCCACCCAAGTACAACTTGTGGAACAAAGAAAACATGCATGGAAATGAGTAAACTCTATACACCTGGAAACTGGCAATTTTTCAAAAGAACTTCTCCAAGACTTTTTCTAAATTGTAATGTAGTTTTGTCATTTGATAAGACATGAGGCCAATATGATCTTATCTCATAGTATCTTTCAAATATCCATCTGTGTTGCTTGTTTCCACTGAGAATTAGGGATGCACAGCAATTTACAGAACTTCTTGGTGCTGCCTGTTGCCCAAGCTCCTGCTAAGGTTGGAAGTCTCTGTGTGGATGTCTCTCACAGGTATCAGCCTTCTGCCAAAATTTCAGACTGAGCAAAGGAACCAAAATGGTTTTCACCCACTTAAAGGCAAAACTAGATTAAATTTTTATGCTTACTTTATTTTTTTATGGCATAAGTTGCTAAGTGTGTCAGCATTTCCCGTCACTGAATGGAATGTAAGACCCAGGTTGTTACATTGTGTTTGTAAGTAAAGGCGTAACTCTGAATTTATTTGACTTTGATTTTTGTGTATTTTTTTTTCACAAAATGTGCTAAGAAAGGCTGCTTCTGGGTTTTCATTTTACTGAAAGGTAGAATATATGCTCAGTAAAACACAGCAATGGCCCTTGTTTTGGCATCAGAAAAGGCACTAAACTTAATCGGCAGCAAAGTAACTAATAGTTTAAAACTACAACATTTTTTTCAAACAGAAACAGCCTACTAGTAGTGTAAGAGGGCTATCAATTTCTGCATCTTTTCATAACTGAATATAATCTTATTTTAAGAGATAACTATTCCAAGCAGTTATCTTGTTGATTTCATAGTTGTCCAAGTCCCTGCAAATGGGTAAAATTTGTCAGCTTTTGGGTGAGGTGAACATTTAACAGTGTGATGTCAGAAGGTCCCAGAATGACAATTCCATTCCGACCCTCAGTTACACAGCTGAATTCCATGAATTCATTTGTGTATGAACTGGAGCAAACTCAATATTGATTTCAAAGTTGCTAGTGATAGGAATCTAGAGGCCTTTATATTTTTTTGTTCTACCTGGGTACTTGTAGATTGTAGAAAAAAATAATTCTTTCAATGTATTAAAACTCTGCTATGATAGTTTTACAGTGAGTTACATTTTCAATCCTTTGTTTTATGGCTTTTTCCTGAACACTCTCCAGCATATCCACATACTTCTTGAATTTTAGACAGGGCATTTGGAAGGATGGGAGTATGAGTTGGTTGTTTATTTGCAGAGGTCAATACTTTCAAAGTTTTCTGTCTTGAAAATATGGTTTATATTGCTCATGATATGTCACTATCATAAATGCTTTTTTCACCCTAAAAGTAGGCAGGCTTTATTAACTTTCATTAATTAATTTTGAAGGGCTGTTCCTGAAACTTCCTCAACCTCCCATTCTAAAGTCCCACTTCCAAGTTTATTAATGGTCAGTCTATACCTATTTGGGAGTCTTTTTACTAGTCACGTTTTCAGTCTTTTATAGCCTCAGTCTCTCACTGATCATTATCCCCTTTGTGTGCCTTGATGTATTTGAAGACAACAATCTTAATCCCTCCATGTTTAATCCTCCACCCTTCACTTTGCTCACTCAAATAAGCAAACCTTTTTCTGCTTTTTCCAGCCAACAAAAGGATACCGAATACTGTTATTTCCTGTTTACTGTCCTGCTGGCACGTTCAAGCTTGCTGTCCCTCCTGAGCTGTGGAAGTTTCAACAGAGGACAGAGAGTGGTTCAACCAGATTTACCCAGAGCATCTCCCCGACCAGAACGGCTCTAGGAAATGGAGGTGGCAGTTTCCCATGTTGCAAAATGAAACAAAAAAATTAGTCACCTTACCACGTCTTGCGAAAAAGTTTTAAGTAGCTACTATCAGAGTTCCTGATGATGAATAAAGATCCTCCCTTTTCTTATTTCATTAAAAACTTAGAGTAATTCAATTTAGTAGTTACTTCTAATTTAAATTAAGAGAAAACTAAACTTAGAACAGATTGATCCTCTACATTCTGGCTTATGTGATGTAAACTATTGTGGACAACCTACTAACAGGCCTCTTCTACCCCCATTTCACCCAGGTATAGCAATGGCCTCAATATTAACATGTAAACAACCCTGCCACTTAACCACTATCATCCACGCTCTTCCAGAAAAACAAATTTTATCAGGCAAATTCAGATGCAGATTGCACTGGCTCACGCCAGTTCTCCTTATCATTAATGACCAGAACTGTCCACCAGTTCTGCAAATGTGGACCCAGGCACCTCATGCAGTTCTGGAGTGATTGCTTTTATCTGTATCCTGTTTTCACTCCTGAGGACAGCAACAGCTCATATGTAGTTTATTTATGCTTTTTTTCTTTTTAAACCCCAGACACCATTTTTTAGCAGTTGACATTGAAACTCTGTGTCTTGGTAGCTAAATAAGTGAACCTCAGGCTATTCAGTCTTAGAGTGATGAAAATTTCTGGTGTAGAATTTTTGTCAGCACAACTGTTTGCTTCATATTATCAGGTTCCATACTTATCCTGGGAAGTCCTGAGTGACCTCTGCCAACAGGAAAGGGAGCACCTACCATATTGAAGAAGGGCTCTCTTCTCCATGCATGGCCTAGGCACCATGGACAGAATAAACTGTGGGTAATTTATAAAGATTTAAACAATATTTAGAAAAATATGTACCCTCCAACAGTCACATGGAATAAATATTATTCAGGAATGAGAATATTCATGGGCACAACATGGGAAAAAAATTCCATGATGTTGGTTGAACATGTATTTTCCACATCAGAATCATAGAAATGTTAAGGTTGGAAAAGACCTCTGGAATCATTAGGTCCAACCCAGTGCTGTGCTGTTCACCACTAAACCACATCCCCAAGTGTCACAGCCACACATTCTTTGACCATTTTGAGCATTTGTGCCTCCCTATTCACTAGCCAGATTTCTCAACACTTTTGGGCCTGTATTACCCGAAATTCTCCCCCCTCTGACAGACATGGTTACAGCTAGCACAAAAGCTACAGTGGGAGAATAACACGGAGAAAGTAAAAATTAAAACCTTTGATGGGTAAAATATTATCATGTATCCCTGGTCATTTGGGGTTGATGTCCAACTGGAAAGATCAGCAGAAAGGGCATTTGAAAGTGCCATTATTGAAATGGCCTTCAACTGAGATGGGAGATTCAGATCAGATATTAGAAAAAACCACTGTTTGGGTGGTCAGGCATTGGAATGGGTTGCCCAGGGAGGTGATGGAATCTCCCTCCCTGGAGGTGTTTAAGAGGCATCTGGATCTGCTGCTGGGTGATGTGGTTCAGTGGTTTAGGGGTTACAACGGCAGTGCTGGGTTGGTGGTTGGACTTGACGGTCTTAAAGAACTCTTCCCACCTTGATGATTCCATGATTCTGTATTTAAACCTATTGCAAAAACATATGCATTTTGGCAAAGGCCCAGGCTGTTCATCAGGCTCTGCATGACTAAGCTTATGTGAGCATCCAGCTCAGAGCACAGTTCGCGTCCGAGTGTGTTGCGAGGGCCATCGACCGGCACAGGCATTTCATATCTTTTATTTTTCCTGGGGAAGGCAGGCAGGCAGGACAGCCCACACCGCGTGCGAGCAGGGCGGGGCAGGGCAGGGCAGGGCCGGGCGGCAGCCCCGGGGGCTTCCGGCCACGGGACGTCGGGCACCATCTGGGCACGCCCGGCGCGGAGGCAGCTCGGGGAGCCGAAGGCGTCCCCTCAGGCCCGGCCCTTTGAAACGGCCGTTCGTTAAACAAGAGCAGCCCCGCTCCGCATTGTCGCGCAGCGCCGGCCGCCGCCGCCGCCCCCTCACGCGGCCGCTTCCCGCGGGGGCTCCCGCGCTCCCCTCAGCGCCGCGGGCGGGGAGGTAACGGGCGGGAGCCCTTCCGGGAACCCTTTCCGCAGGGACCGCCCCGCTCCGCGGGCAGCGGGAGGCCCTTTCCGGGAAGCCCGTCCCGCAGGACCCGCCCGCTGAGGCGTCGGGAGGACGCGGGAGGAGCGCGGGGGACGGGCCGGCGGGCTGGGGGCGGAGGGGGCGGGCGGCGCTCGCTCCCCCCGCGGTGACAGTTCTAGAAGCTCGTCCGGCGTCCTTTGCGGCCCCAAACATGGAGGAGCTGACGGTGGAAGTGCGCGGCTCCAACGGGCCTTCTACAAGGTACCGGCGGCGGGGGCGGCGCGGGGGCCGGCGCCGCGGCGGGGGGGGCGAGGGGCGCGGGGGAGGCGCGCGGCAGCGGGAAGGTGCGGGAGGGGCGCCGGGGCCGGGGGCGCGCGGGGAATGGAAGCGGGGCGGCGGCGGGGGTCGGCGGTGACGAGGCTGGCGAGGGCTGCGCTCAGGGGAGGGGTCGTGTGGTGGGAAGGCAGAGCCGCCGGCGGGGCCGGGGGAGCAGGATGTGCGGCGGGGGGATTCCCGGGCCTTACATTTTGGGGAGGGTGGGTAGGGCGTGTGGGGGGGGGGGGTGTTGGTTTTTCGAGATGTAGGGGCTTTTGGGTGGGATGGACGGTAATAATTATTTTTAAAATATTTATAATTTTTTTTGAGATTTCGAGTTTATTTATGCCATCAGAAATCTTCCTTCACCATCACCCTCCGTGGAATGTCAGGATGGTACAGGATCAATGCAGAATACTCTCAGCTGTTGCCTGTCAGTCATTTTCCCTTAAGCCTGGCTTCAGATGTTTAAGAATCCCAGCTCTTTTTATGGCAATAGCCTCCTGTCTTCCTTTCGAGAAGGGCTGATTCCAGCCGGCATTGTGAGCACGCAGCGTGGCTGTGTTCTGGGAGGATTTAATCTCAGGACTCCCTTTAGCTATTGTGCCCAACCACATGCACAGCCAGTGTTGCACTGGGGGGCGTGGGGTTGTCCTTTTTCTTGTTTTCCCCCCTCTGAATTTCCTGTGTGCAGCTGTGGATTTGGCTTGGAAGTCATGTGGAAATTGTACAGTATGTGCAGGCAGTTGGTTTTAAGGGATTGTAACCAGCTGACTTCAGGAGTTAGTTTTTTCAACTGGCCATGACAAATGGGAGATACTCTTATGGGAAAAGAATGCAGCAGGGTAACCTGCATCCCCTTGGTAGGGAACCCTCTGAAATTTTTTACTAAAATCAGTAGATAATACATTTTCTAAATCGGATATGTTTTTTGTCAAACTCAAAGTAACACGATGCTCCTAAATATATTTAATTTTTTTTCACCCCCCCGCTGCCCCTTAGGAAGTCCAGAATTTGGAAACGCTCTTCTTAGCTTTCCATTTTCTACCTTGTGATCTTGGACGAGTTTATGAACCATGGATTAGTTGTTTCTTCTGCTTAAGAGGAATATGAGACTCGCGGGAGTATGAGCAGGTGTGCTGAATTCTTTGACTGAAGGGGTTTGTGTGCACGGAATTTATTACAATAAGCCTGATGTAAAATCTACAACAATGACGTCTCTTCCTAAGTCAGTGAGAATTGTCAGACTTGAATTAGCACCATCGTGTGTTTTAGCCATATGAACACTAGCTAACAAAAGCAGAAGTTTTAATTAAAAATGGCAGAATGGCTTTGAGATCAATGAAATGAGGATTAAGTCCAGTGGTGGCATCTTCATGGTGGATGAAGGCAGGTTAGAGTGATTGGATGTACCATGATCAAAGCCTCAATTCAGTCATCCACTGTCAATGTGGAGGGGAAAAAAGCCCACAAAATCCAAAAAACAAACCAAATAGACCAAAGAAACACAATTTTAAAAGATTATTCTTATGAGCTACATGCAGTGAAATGTGTCAGTGACTCCATTTTGTGAGTCTTTACAGTTGAAGTAGGCAGAGGTTCTGCAGTATTTTGGAACTAGGTAACAGTCCTAGACAGTTGCTTTTTAAAGTTCCTGAAGCAAAGGAGCGAGGTGTGTCAGTCACATTTAGGAAGCATTGATCATACTGTGTGCAAGATAATGAGAAGAGACTCATGTTGTCTGAGCCACATGACGTTGTATGGATGGTGGCAAAAGTTTTCTGAAGAGAAAAGCAGAATTTATAAGATGGGATGAAATTTGAGGTTTGCCCTTGGAACAGTCTGAATTCAGTCATTAGCACAACATACCTCCAGGTACATGAGATGAGAAAGGTTGCACTATGCCAACAGAGATAAAAACCAAAATAATTATGTAAACAGTAACATGAGAGTTTGGGGTTTTTTAATGGGTTGTTACTATGGTCTGCAACTTGGCTGTAGTAGAACACATGTAGTGTTTAAATCTGTTGGAGCATTATAGTGGGTTTTCAATACTTACTAGAGGTACGACCATGGTAAATTATACTCTACATAGATTCTTTTGTTCCTCTAATAATTGCTCTTCAGTTTTAAGGGGGAATTCTTTGTACCTATTGGAAAAACATATATTGTATGTATGCATTATGAACACACGTTAGATATGGGTACGCTATGGTTGCTATAAATTACTACAGAAAATTAGGTTCTTTATTAAAATACATGAAAACTCAAAATACTTTTCATGATGCAAGAATCAGTGGACAGCAGCTGTGGTTATGGTAGATCCCAAGGTACCCTTTTAAGTTTTTGTACAAGAGAAAGCATAATTGTGATCTAATTTTAAACTCCTGTTTCTAAATAACCAAACTAATTTATCCTTTCTTTTTTTTGTTGTTGCTTTACATAATTGATATAATCTGGAGAACAGGACAGCATTTACCTTGTGTCTTATCCCAAGTTCTCAACCACTACACAGCAGAGCCAGTGTTCAGCCACTTCCTACAGTTCAGAAGACTTTGAGTGTATCATAATATTGAGCATCCATTGTCTTTGGAGAACAGATGGCACTGATGGGACTTGAAGTAGTGACGGACTTGGGAAAAATGAGGAGGTTGTGCTATGGAACAGAGGGGAGAACAGACAGGGTTGCTGAAGTCTCCTAGTTAAGGGGTTGCATATGTTTGAGGTGCAGTGAAGGCATTCTGAGAGCAGAACAGTTGATGGGTTTTAGGTGAGGGCTAGATGGCAGGTTAGTTTTTGTCTTTGGGATGTTAGAGTAGACTTTTTTCATATGTGAAATGGCCAAAAATATCTGGATTTCTTTGGCCTGTGTATGAGTCAAAGAGAGTGGAAGCTGAATGCTCCCAGCCTCCTCTTGGCCTGACTGCAGCATTGGCAGGATGATGTCTCTGTGTCATTAAGATCATGAAGTAGTTCACAGACTCACAGAGGGTTGAGGCTGGCAGAGACTGTGGGAATTCATCTGCTCCACACCCCTGCTCAAGCAAGGCCACCTAGAGCCAGTTGCCCATGT